CCCCAAAACCCCAAAACCCCATGTTATAAAATTCTAAAGAAATTATGAAGTTAAGATTAAATTATTATTTAGATAAAGTATTCATGAGGGTGTTTGATGCAAAAGAGTTTGAATATAGGCTGCTACAATTGGATCTAATTCATTTCTATATATCTTCTTAATCTCATCGGTTAGTTCAGCCACAACTTAAAGTCTTAAGTCTCTTCTATTTGAAACCAAATTCACCAGTCCTTTAGCTGCTACTCTCATTGCCTCATTTTATTGCAGTGTTTACATGGACGGGTTAATTTTTCTGATATGTTCAAGGAATAATTCCATGCCTTTGTGAGAAAAGATTTAAGGTCTCAGGTAATCTCTCAATGAGAGATTGGCTAGGACTTAAAGTGCACTCAACCTCATATCATCTGAATACTTTTGCTAATTCTTGCTCATGTCAATAAGATGGGGAATGAAATTTTCAAATTCTGCATCAATGCTCCTTAAATACTCCTAATTAACTTTTGATTCTTCTTTATTCTCTGATAGTTATACTAATGATTTGATGCCTAATTCCTGAATGTTCGGCAAACTAGTTTGTGTTAGTGCGAACAGACTCTTCACATCAAAGTTTTTCTTTCCATGCTAGACTATCTTCTAGATCAAATGTGAAATGACTGGCTAGAATCTTGGATTGTGCTTAGTAAATACATTTATCAATCTTGATAAGCCGTTTCTTTTTATTATATCCATTGCTCTTGCTTCATTCATGGTATCTGCTATCTTTTATAGTATCTTGAACTGTGACTACTGGATTTCAAAAGGGAAATTGAGATAATCAATGATAGCGAACACAGACATTAGCAAGTCAGTGCTTCCCATGATTCTTCGAATAACATCATCTATCATTGGGTCTAGAGATTAAAGTGCGAAGCATTGAATTTCTTTAGTATTCTCAGGTGTAAGCATTTGACAATAATCCCCAATTAGACTATCATTTAATGGCACGCTGATCTTATCAGTCATATTTTAGTGTCTATCAAATACACTCGGATCTTGGAAGTTACTTCTAGCCTAAAGCTAATCGATAGGTCTGTTATAAGTATCGTTTGATGGAGGTCTTCTTTACTAAATTTCCATATTATTTTACTGATCAATGATTCTATTAAATGTTTATGAAACTACAGGCTAATGAGGATCATAATTTTGATAAGGTAAAATAATTCTTGTCCTATCTCTAGACTGAGTTAACCTATCATTATAAGATTTATTTATTCCAGTCTGCTGTCTCATTGCACTAGTATCTTATTGTTAAGGCATTTAGAAAGACTAAGGATTTCTGTAAGCTGTGTCAAGTTCATAAGATAGAGATGTCCCGCCCATTTTACTTTCTTCTGTCTGGTTTTATCTCATATTCATTGCAACATTTCTTTATTAGCTAGGTGATGGTGGTCTTACCATATTATGGCTTGGTTTTGAGATAGCTGTAACAATAGATATAATTTTAGTTTTTACAAAGGCATTTATACTTGGCCTCTTTGACATGTTTAGAAGCCTGGCAGTTACAGGCATTGTTTTAAATGTAGCCCAAAACTGAGCTGAGTGTATCAGAATTTCAATTAGCTCCACAACAGACCCTAGAATGAAGCTATCTTGCTCTACATAATCGGTTATCCATAGCTAAACCATCAACAAAATAAGCTCAAGCAGATTTCTATTTATAGGATCATCAAAAAGTCTCACATTTTAGAAGTCAATAGCTCTAGAAAGAATAAGGCAGATGTTATGAATAACTTATTTGTTCGGGTTGAAACCTAGAGGAATAATCAGCTCTAGTAGCTGAACCGTATTAGGATATTCTTGTATTTAGCTCATAGCTATTTTATTCACAATAGTCTGCTAGAGATTTTTCAACATTATAATCAGCTCTTCAGTATTAGACCCTCCATGAAGGTTCAATTAACCTGATGGATCTTGTTATCTTCTTGAGGGGTCTAGTAAGAGTTCAGGTTATGCAACGACTCTATCGCCATACTTTAAGAAATCGCCAACTCTTGATGAGTTACTAAGAGAATAACCGTATTCATCCTCAAGTTTAGCAGTAACAAATGGAGGTTCGTTTGGAAATAGATCAGTAAACTCTTTTTCGATTTTTCTCTTTAAATCTGCTATTCGAGCATTACTCTCTATCATGAGAGTAAGTCTTTTGTAATCAATATCACTCTCATAATCCTTTCTCATTGTCACATAAATTTTAAGGACTGGCCCATTTTGATTTTAGTTCATCGGGATTGTTGACAGCAATGAGTTATCACCCATTTAATAATGTCCACCTGCTCCTAACTATGTCATTGACATTTTTCAATATTTACAATATTATTACTATTTTGTATTTTTTTCTTCTAAATTTATTTTTATTGTTGGGGTTTTGGGGTTTTGGGG